CTGCGTTTCGCGACCAGGACCCCCCGATCCCTGTGACTGTTGAATACTGTTGAGACATTTGACACTTTTGTAATACGAAACGTAAAAAGTGACGACAGTTCTGCGTTTCGCGACGATTTTCGTCTCTCCGGCAAGTCCGACGCAAATCCGACACTCCGGCAACGCTTGCGAGCGCTTGTGAACGCTGGCGAACGATTGCGGACGCTTGCGAACACAAATGCAACGACCTCGCGTCGCCTCCTGGACCCCTGGACCCCAACCTCAACACGGGAACCCTTCTGCTACGCATTCGGGAAAAGCACCTATATCATGCGGATCCATCGACTTCCAAAGGCCAAGAATTTTCAAATCCAGCGAATACCAAAATTGTAAGAACCTCTTTAAAAAAAATTCTAGATTTTTCGGAATTTTCGCCGGTCTAGACTTTTCAAGCGGCCAAGATCACGAGAATAGGCAGGGGTCATCCGGAAGCCCACGCGGCACAAATAAAATACTTTCATAAGGGCATTCATCCACAAATTTGGAAGAATTGATATCAAAAATTATCTGATCAACAATCGTTATCATTGATATAGTATGTCTATTCCCTTGGTGCTGCTCATCTTCTGGAGAATACCAATGGATTTTGCAAGAATTGAACTCAAGTAGTAAAGGCTGGGCTCAAGTAACCAGTAGGATGAATGAAAAACTAAGCAGGAGCTACCCTTTTCCCTTGCTCGAGTCGCCAAAGCCTGTGGCCACAATGGATGTGCAGCTACCCGAAATCAAGAGAATGCATGAGCAAGCTCCAATTTACTAAGCATGTGTTACATGTAAATCCAGACCCCTTTAGGGGTTGGACTCACATTGTGATAATCTAGTTGGCAAAAAATCAAGTTCAGTGTCGCTCTCTGTCGTCACATCATCTGGCTTCGTTGGCCGGCGGGGAGGCACACGTGACAGCGGAAATCGAGGCTGAAAACAACGATGTTGCTCGGTTGGTTCTTGATCTACACCTGCATCATTGTGATGCTCGAATCTTGGTTGAAGTTCAGGTCCACATCGAGAATGAGCAAGTGCACACATGTGTGTCAAGGTGTCAAGAGTCTGCGCCCACTCAACCCTCATCTGCGTGAACATTCTCTGCAGTGATTTGGTGGCCAAAAGCGAAGCAACAGTGTCCTCGACTGCAAGGCCAAAACGCACGAATTCATAGGCATACTACCAACAACTGAAAGTGAAGATGTTTCAGGATTAGCTTCGCTTTTCGTGAGGTCGCCGCGGATTTTCAACATTCCTTGGACCAGCTCCTGTAAAGCACCATCATGCGGCATTTGCCAACAAGAGAACCACAAACGTTGAATGATAACCCCAGCACGTATAGCTTGCAACAAGTTGGGCTCTCCTGCACATGGAGGGTACCGCTGCCATCTGCATCGATGACTTCAAACCTAAGCAGGAGACAATGCTCACGTGCAATGAATTAACGGCATGCCGGCGATATGCACGTGAAGTTCTGTCAGCGAGCCTTTTTCTGCAGCTGATCTGGATGGGGCTTGTTGGTTTTCCGTTTGATGCCACTTGCGAGTCAATGCTTCGCATGAACATTTTGATTCATGTTACAGAAAACTACGCTTGAAGAACTACCATCTGACTGAGGGGCAGATTGGCGCGGTCTGGTGGAAGATCAAGCTCATCCATGAGATTTTGCACACCTAAGTCGCCGGTACTCCAAGGGAAGCTTGGGAATATATCTCCGAGTACATGCTTTGCTTAATCCTGCCCCTATCTTGTATAACGACCAAGAACAACTCTTTGGAAATCTGGATTTGGTCATGCACATCGTCGTCAGTGAACACTCCGGCTGAAGCCGAGGTAAATTCCATGGATGACATCATCTCGACCACCCCAGATCCAGCATCATTGTCACTGAACTCGCGGTACGCCGTCGCGAACTTCTTCAAAAGCTCTCGCGCGAACCGAGCAACACGAATGGATTCACGAGCATATTGCTCAGCATTGCTGGCATCATTTTCCTTTGCCGCTTTCATAGTAATGTCCTTGCATCTCCAACATAAAAAAAACGTAAACGACAGCTATCTACTGAACAAGAAAACCGAAGTTTATAGAAATCGCTGAGTGGCAACGTAAACAGCCAAAATGACGTTGAAAATTCCCATGGTCACCTTGTCGGGCACAGCTCTCACATAAACACATGCACGATCAAACGTGCAAAGTCTGTGCGACAGCATTTGGCTTCGAGGCTGAAGCCAGCATATAGCTAGCAACGTACGGGATAATAAATGCCAACCCGAACTTCCCCGCCAACAGGGACGTCATAGGCAGTCCTGACCATCATAGATTCTGCAAGGGGCAGTGATCTCACAGTTTTACTATGCTGGGGCTTGGCTCATTGATAAGCGCTGTCAGCAAGGTATGGTTCTAACAACACCAAATAACTAAGTAACCCCAAAACGAAACAGGACTGTACCGAAGTCAGCGGTCCCTGGTCACTCACGCACTCACCTGTAAAGCATCGGAAAGCTGTGAACATTGAGGCGGGAATGGTGTCGAAGTGTGGTAGGAGGTCACCATCCAAATGGTCGCCCAGTGCCATGGTGGCAAATCCGGAAATTACGTAAAGCACCTGGGAGGTACTCTAAAGGTCATCAAAGTCATTTATAAATAGGAGCCTATACCACAACAGGGGAATCATTAATCATCCCAAAGTGCCACCTAGGCACTGTAAACAATAGTGTGAAGGCGAGGACAAGAGTTCGCAGTCCGGCAATCCACCCCTTGACCATAAGGCGAAGATCCTTCATGATCTTCAGCCGGAAGACTTTCACAATTCTGGCTAAGCGAATGAGCCTTGTGAATCGCAACAGGCCCGTTCCTGCTATGTCACTTGCTTGTTGTTGAATGAACTGTAATAGCAGGTCGGTCCCAGATGTCACAGCCAAAAAAATGTCGAACCAATTCCAATACCTTTCTGATCCACACCAGTATGTGCGACATCGGAGAAGGTGTATTCGGAGCAGTATTTCCAGGAAGAGGATGACGAAGAACGCCGTCTCAAGGTATATCCATCCCTGCACGCAGCAGTTGGTGACTCAACCAAAACACTTGGGGCAGCTTAGAAATCATAGCTCTGGGACTTACCTTTCAGGGCACTTGGAGCATAAAAGGAATGAGAAGTGACTGGAGCCAGTCGAACCTGTTCACTCTGTGAGCCCAAGGTTTCCGCTCGGTGTGCCCAAGGATCACATCATCAAGATCGCAATAGAAATGAACAATTGGCAGAATCAAGTGCTGGGGCGAAGCATGAATGTTGGGAATTACCGCCGCTGACTGTAGGAACACTTCCCTAAGCCCGGAATTCTGATTGCGGCGCCTGACTAACCTATTTTAATACCCTGGACTGACATTGGATTGACATTGAATTGGATACTGATCCTCTTTGACTTGATGCAAGAAGAGCAAGTGGCAACCATTCCTAGATATCTTTTTGTGTGCCAAATTCCTGGCCTGCCACTGCGTGTAGTTCGGATCGGTCTGAAACCCTATCATGATGCCGTTTGCAAGGATCATGATGGCCACCTACTGGCAAAAACAGCACAGAAGGTGGTCCAAGCGGCGTTTGGGTTGGGACCAAACTGCCCTAGACTCAAAGCAAAATAGTGCTGCATAAATTTTCCAACGAAGCACAAAGGGTTCAATGTACATCAGGGGATGCATTGGCTCTGGAGGGGCAGCCAAATCATTGATCCTGACGAAGGTCAATTCTGCGACCACGAACATTGTTGTCGTCGAACCCTTACTCCGGGGTGTAGACGATAGAAGAGGAGCACAAGCGTCTCCTTAGCTGAGGCCAACGGCCTAGACCTTAGTCAATTCAGAGGTACCTGCAAAACGCAGGTTGCCTGAACTGTGAAGACAATCGCAGACGGAAGGAAACGGAATCCTACTTCAAACCTTGTACGAGTACCGCACAGAAGCAGCAACCCTCGTGCTGCAGCATCAGTCTGGACGAGCCCAAGAGGCCCTCTGGCGACGGGATTCGACCTCCGCCTGCCTGATTCTGCCCATCTGACAGATCAGTGCGTCTTCCTGACTCCTCGCAAGAGCCCTTTCGGTCCACCCTAGCCGCGCACGGAGGCGCGAAACCGGCTCTGGGATAGTCCTGAGGTGCGCGAACGCGTCGCACTCTCGGTTCGTATCACTCGCTAGCAGAATCTCCCGCATACCTGGGAACATGTTAAGTAATACGTCTCATCGTCTTTTTGAAAACATGCCCTGGCTTCATGAATAACGGGAACCCGTTTGCCTCGAAACTGTTTGAGTAGTGTTGTTGTGTTGAACACCTTCTTGTGAACTTGACCTTCTTCTGCAAGGAATAACTCCATCAAAGCTTGTGCTGCCACCACGTCCTTCTCGAAACGTGCGTCCGGCGGAATATGCATACCCGGAGGTGATGGAGGTGCATCTTTCTTGATTGCTGGCCAATGCCAGATGGGCTCCATGCCAATGAAATCAACTTCATCCTGGCAACGCACTTGGACTGTCATTAGTTCAGAGTGTATGGTTCTTGTTCTTAGAGGGCCTTGATTTCATGATGTATACCAAGGCCTAGCTTGGCGGAAGCAAGTTTGCTGGACGGAAATCGATGTGGCTTTTGGGCTTTAGCATATCCCATGACAGGAAGATCGGTTTGTATGTTGAGACTTCTGGGCTGCGTCTAGATCGAGACACTACGTTTGGTCCTGATAATGCACCTTCGAGAAGGATGCGGTGCTGATGTCCTTAAAGTGAAGCCCGATGTATTCTGCCAACGCATTGACCAAAGAATTCGTGTCCTGCAGGGATTGGCATCATTGGAATAGGGACTTACACCAATGACAATAGGTCTTAAGAATAGATTTTCCTGATCCCCTTCTCCTCCACAGTGTACCGGGTAAGGCCCAGTGCAACGACAGCATCATGAAGAGCTCGACCGGAAATCAGTTTCTGGTGCGGAAGGACACCTAAGCGAACTCGCAGCCGCTGACCTGAGCCAGGACTCTTTGCTTTGTTCAGAAATGTGGATCCTTTAGGGTCAAATGGAGACAAAGGATGAGGGCACTGCTTCAAATCGAGGACCTCCACATGAATAGTTGTCCACACGCTCACCTAGACATGTGCCTTCCTTGAAGAAGGCTGCTACCATGTCCCTACTCTCGCGTCATAAAATGTGGTTTTGTAGAGGCATGCCCAGGTTTGCGTAATCTTCTGCAGTTGAAAGAAAGAGGTGGGTGCTTCCTGTTTTCCTGGCGGAAAGCAGGCACAGATAGATTAATTGCAGGAATACTCGTCCTCCAACAAGGCACTTTACCCTCTCACGCATTTCCGAGTGGCTGGTGGCAAGGGCATCCGTGGGCTCCATCTTCTTTAGCGCCGAGCGCAACATAGCACTTGTGGTGGACCCAGTCACAATCTGGCAGGGTCAATCTCATCCCCAAACTCTTGTGAGCAAATCCTAAATCCTTGACTGATCATTTTTTCCTACCATGTGCTGCTGCCACAGGCACCTCTGCATCGATCTCACTCATGTTGTCGTCGTCAGGCAACCGTTTCAATGACCTGGTGTAAATGGGTTTGATCCTAGACTGAAAGTGACCCATTGTTTTGGTCACAGAACTGTTTTTCAGACTGCCCGTATTGATTCCGAAAGGACAAGTATCTGCAGCACCCTGCTCGCTTAACCGATCCAAGCAGCATCTGAATGAGGGCTACTGTTTACTGGCAAGGGCACACTGTCATTCTCGTGCATCCTGGGAATTTTGGTAGCTTACAGGTTCCACCTATGCCATCTTGGAGGTTCCAAGTAGGCTAGGATTTCACCCTCAATAAGGCAATTTGTTGTCTGTTCCATGTTGGCAGGAGCGGTTGTTGTGTTGTCGAGCTGTATATCCAAATCCCTTTGAGCCAACTGTTGGTTTCAGGGCTATAGCCTCACATTTCTTTAGGGGACATTTTGCTGTCTTAACACACTCTGCAGGAGACGCCTGCAACCTGACTTTATGCATTATTTGCATCGACAGAAAACAATGCATTCTGAAACAGAACTCAAAAAAACGCCAGGCAAAGTCAAGCGACGACTGAGGGCTCATTCGGGGTGGCACCATTTCCAACTGTACCCCCTGGCTGGGGGTACCTGGCAGCGAGATACATTTACGCAAAACATCCAAACTCAAATGAAGCTGGGCTCTTGATGTCTTCATGCTGCTAAGAAGACGAACCCTTTGAAGCACGATCCAGCATTTTTGAACAACCCTGGAGTGCGAACTGACCTGTATTCCGGCGAGCTCTGCTCTCCACATTTTGGCCATTGGACTTGCAAGCTTGGATCCTCGCTCTTCCAAATCTTCCTGAAATTGACTGCCCGAATTGCAGACCCTAAGCCGCTCTAAACTCTGAACCCTAAACCCCCCGAACTCCTGCTTTGCGCGGCCTGGAGATCTTTGGAGGGTGCTATCCTCAGGCTGGCTGCCTGCTCTGGGTAGGCTGTGATGGCCTGCGCTTTCATCTCCGTGGCTGTCAATCATGTGGGAATGCTAGATTTAAGCACTTCTTCATGAGTCTTCAGGTCAGTTTGAACATCGATGATTCAGCCATATCCTATAGTCATGACCATCATAAGTGGTCAGTGCTGGGCTCGTTTTCCAGGTTTACTGGCGGAAATTCTTGTTACATCATGGCTATTCTCATCATTGCAATCTCTCGCACCTTTGGAGACCCTTAACCCAAATATGAAAAATTGTATTAGAATAAGATGGTAATATAGCAATATAGTAATGTATGCTAACATAGTAATATGGTAGTAGAATGGTATGGGAATATAGTAACCCTTAAGCTTTGAGGCCGCGACAGCCTGAAAGTCTTTGGTCGAGGAGGCAACCTTGAGGTTGGCTGCTTGCCCTGGGTAGGCTGCGATGGCCTGCACTTTGATTATCATGTCATCATATCATCATCACTATACGCAAGAAGATCATGGAGAAGATGAAGATGATGATGATCATGTTGATGATGTTGATGATGTTGAGGCTAGCGCTATAGGAACTTCAAAAGGTTAATGCCCAGATATAGCGGCTTTCAGCCAGTGGCTATAATGTGCAAGAGCTCTGTGTGCTGCTTTACAGTCAGTGGTCAAGTGTTTGTATGGTTATGAATCAAACACCTGCCTGTTGTCGAAAGTTATTCCAGCACTTGTCCAGGAGATGGATGAACTCATCCTTCTCCATGGCTCGAAGTTGAAGGAAACTGTAGTTTTGCAAGGTTTGAAGCTTCGGTAAAGTCTGTATGGTCTCCACCAGGAACTTACTATGCAATGCAAAAGGCCATGCATGTAGAACAATGATCATCCAGCCATGAAACCGACATACCCACATGGCCTGCGAGCAGATCATTTTCAACAGCTGGAAGGTGACGGATAACATTGACTCACACTTTTCGGACTCCTTACATTCTGCATCCGCAAATCTTGAATGCTTGTGGAAATCCGCTGGCTGGTGGGAATCAGGTCCTTGGACTGTACTGTTTGTATGACTGCCCAAGACGAAAGATAAGTAAGCATTTAGTGACTGACTTTTGCACTTCGCAAGCGTTGGGGCTAGAGCTTACGCTACGAAGGTCTCCTTGTTGAGGGCGTATTTCATCACCCGTCCCGTCGCAATGATGGTGCAAAGCAACACTTGCGCGGTCAATGGCTTGCTGGATAACAGACTGCAACTTCCTGTGACCTCTGTGCATTTTTGAAGTCACTGTATGTCAGAACATTGCAGTGGCTGGAAAACTTTGCCCACATATGAAGCCCTTCCCTTCTCACAGGACATCAAGTGTAAAAGCATTTCTACAAATCTGTATCTTCAAGAGCACCCGTCGACATCTGGTATAGGAAGAGTGGCCACCTCCACCTACCATACATGGGGCTTACGTCACCCAGGAACACCACCTCGTCCCATAAAGGACCACTAATTGCACGGAATCTGCACGCATCTTTTTCAAGAACATCTTCAGAGGATGACGCTGCTTGCTCGTCTTCTGTCCTCCTGGTCACACACGTTCGCAGAAAATCTCATGGTGTCCAACTTACAAGCTTTTGAACGTTGAGCCATGGAGGGAACAAGGGAAGTTGCAAAGAAGCTTCACCATGACTAGTTCGTTGCCTGTAATGTTCAACAGGGCATGACCACTAAACTGTAATTAGACCTAGCGAATGGTACTGCTTGCACCTGTCTGTGACTCGGGGTAGCTGTTTTGTCAAGCAAGAGCATGCATGATCTTCCAGGTGGACATGTGACATGCGCGGAACAAGTTTGGGAACAAATTTGGTGAGACGGATTGGTTGGCAAGATGCGCAAGCTGCCATTCGATCAAGAGGCCACGATACAGCACAGGCTCAGAAACAGCAAGAACCAAATTCCACAGCCTTGATTGCAAACCCAAGCTCCTAAACTTAAATATCCTGATTCCCGGTCTGCAGGTTTATGCCTGCAGGTTCATGTTGCCGTCCTCAAAGTCCGATGGCTTCTCCAGCACAGTTTCTTCTGATTGAATCTCAGCAACAGTTCGCGAGTTCGGATTTGGGGCCTGTATTAGCCTCCAACCGGGAAGCCCTTGCTCGCCCCGTTTATAATAAAGATCTCCCCCAACTCCGGGCAAAGCTTGTCAAGAACTTTGACCTCTAAACCAAAGGTGGGATGCTTCTTCAACGACTATGTGTATGCGTAGCTTATCTGCAGCTTGCATGATTTTCAAATGGAAGACAAGTACCTCGACACAAGGCAGCTCTTGTCTGTGTGCACAGGCCCCGCAATGACACTTGGACTGCGCTAAGCTCCGAACATTGAAGTAATATGAGACGCCGCAATGAACGAACTGGGCCCACAAGCCTTTGATGGCCACCTTGGTCATGCAGCTCTGCCAAAAGGCTCGTGAAAGGGATCCAAGCAATTTGATTTTTTGCTCTGCAAGTCCAACCCCAATTTTGCGCCGAAACTGGCCTTGAACAGCCTTGGTAGATTTGTTTTTGTATGCCGCCCCCTCAGCAAAACCTCGAGCGGCTCGACACACATGCATGACATGAGCTCCGAATACAAAGGCCAGCGCTTGGCGAGGTCTTCTCGCAACCAGCTCGGCCTCTGCCTCCGTGAAAAATGATAATGCATCAGCCTAAATCATCACCAACGTTACGCTCGTAGATTCCTTGCAGAAATGGTATGGGCTACCTCAAACCTCACGATGATGCTGGCAATAAGAGGCACCTACATTAACATTATTCTGGTCCAGGAGGTGCAGCAGCACAATTCGCGACTGCACGAAACTCAACAACCCCAGAAGCAGAACCAGACATCAAGTATCTCTGAAATTATGCATCCTGGCGCAAAATGAGAATTCACATATTAAAGCCGAAGGATATGTCCGACCACCAACTTTTGACATGCATCTGCTAATGAAGACATGTTTAGGCTCTGGAGAGGGTTGGCCTTCTGGGCACGCTTCACCTTGCGACTCGCCGTGCTGCGGTCGGAGTCGCTGTCTTCGCGACTGGGAAGGCCATGTGCTTCCCTTTATGTGAGATTTCTGGTTGATCATTTCAGGTGACATAAGATGTTTTGGGACTTTGAGACTGGAAGTCTTAGCTGAAGTCTCGGAAGGCTTTTTCAGACAACTACAGCATGCCTGCCTTGCAGAGCTAAGGTCACGAGTGGTGCAAGTCTCACAAATCTAAGCCACTCACTTTTTGCCTGGCTGACTGCTCTTTAGTATATTTCGCAGGAAGTAGAACTCAGGACTCGTCGGAGCGAAATGGTGACGACTGGTTTATGATGTGCAAAGCTGTCAGCACGTCAAGGAACCTTCTGAAGGGCTTCTTCATAATCAAATGGACATGAAGACAAGGACTCTGTTTGATCTCCTGAGACGCCTTACACACCGAAACACGAAGGTAGGGTAGGCGCAAAGGCACTGTCCCATGACTTTCTCTGCTTGGGAGTACTGTGGCCTTGCTAACAGCTTCCTTCACAAGTCAGGCTGGGGGGGCAAAGCCAAAGCTAAGCCGCGGGCCGCTTCTCCCACCAACGGACCTCAAAGCAGGTTTCGATTAATACTTGGGGCAACATTCGAGGCTTGGTCTATCGCTCGACAATCGTGCTACTGATGGATGCTTGGCAAAAGCTCCCCCAGAACTTGTTCCCGCAATGCCTGGGTAACAAGATAAATGCGGAAGCCTCAAAGGGGCTTTCGCAAATCCGACATGATGTGAAAGGTTCCAGCAAACGCTTACCTCTGTAAGTTGCGGCAGGAGGATTTTTCTGGGAAGAAAGCAAAAATTGAAGTCATGGTCCTCTGCTGCAAGCTTCAACTCTGCTCGGGAAGTTGTTGATGACACCCGATGGCTAGCATAATCCTGCGTCAGCACACTATATGATGCCCGGGGTGATTCCTTTCTAATGCAGGCAAGTGCAGTACTTGGGAAGCATGTGCTGCAGCCGCTTCATCAGGGTGCCAGGCCGTACTGGAGCAGCCCGTCGCACGGATGTACTGACCGGTTGCCGTGTGGCTGTTGCTCCGGCTCCTCGCAACGGAGCACAATGTGCATCCACTCTTTCTTGATTCATGCGTGGCTCATGTAGACACAGCTACGCATTTGGCATCTAGATTGTTGCCGCTTTTGGGAATGCATGCACAAGTAAACATGCAAATGCGTCCAAAGACGGTCCTGTCCAGCCACCGCTTCGCACTCCTGGCAGCATGTGCTGAAGTGCTCTGGTCTTGCAAAACGACCCATGCAGACCTCGCACTGCGGGCCCAAAGTCCGTAGCTTGAACGCGGTTCGTGCAAGACATTAATATTCATGTCGAATGGGTCCTGTAGGCGGCCTTATCTGAAGCAGAGGATGAATATCAAAGACTGTCATTCTGTCAGGTTGTTGATGCAAGTCTTCTCTGAATCGCTGACCAGGAGGCTACATGGGCGCTGCCCAATGTTACCTTCATAACAAAATGACCTCNNNNACCTTTCGCGGAAGGTCTTTTCAGCCAGCCGTGGTCGTTTTATATAAAAACTTCCACATGGGGTTTTCTTGCGATGCCCACATGAAACTCAGCAAACATTAAGTCACAGAGCTCTGCCAAGCTCCCACGACAATTTTGGAAGCATCTTTAAAAGATCATGCTACTACCGCTAGGCCGAAGTCCCCTCACCAGAGTTAAGTCACCGCAAAGCCTGCGACACACGGCGCAAGAGCGAAGTCGCACCAACAGGAGCAATGTCACCCCAACAAAAGCAAACCCCATAGGCAACAGCAAACAAGTGCAAAGAGTCTGGCATTGTGAATCTCCAAGGAACACAGTGTCAGCACATGTCACGGATCCAGCTTTCATGATTTAGCAAGTACTTTAGCAACCCTTGACACCGTGCACGCACCTTGTAGAGACGTGTAATGGATGCAGCTGTCTTGCTTTGTTTATTCCTTGGCAAACCAAAACACCCTGTAGACGCCTGGCTCACAGTTTAGAAATACTTTGGCGACCCAAAACAATGAAGACGCTGCTTTGTGGACATATGTCGCAGATGATCCCTCCTTTGGCTGAAAATTTGGGCTTGCTGGTTCCTCCTGGTCAGTAAGCGAAAAAAAATCTTGTGTGAAATCATGTTTCCAGGATTGACTTCGAAATGCACTGCAGCCCCGAAGTCCTGCTTTTGCGCTTGCGACGACGGGCGCTGCGAGAGGCACGCCTCCAGCCGTGGTGATTGTCATGAAGTAGGGGAGTCTCTCTGGTCCTGGAGATGCCCGTTTGAAGCCTGCATCTGTGTGATTCTGCGTGAACAACGAGGCTAATTGTCGCCGAGCAACTGTTGGAGTGACAGGGTGTAAGGTTGAAGTCTAAACTCGCGGCGCATATCATAAGGGTTGAGCAAGGAGATCAGGTGTGGCTGGGGCCTTCAGGTTGTGCAGGGAGTTTACCGAAGTTTTCGCAAGTGTCATCGTTGAATCGTAGTAGAGACTCGAAGAACTTCTTGATGCCAGGGGTCTGCGTCTTTGAAGGTTTGCTTGTGCCCTTTGCCTTCATACATCGATTTTAGTGATCGCTTACTGTAGCTAGGCCGCCAAAAAACTGGTTCCTTACTAACTGCCAGTCTGAGGCTTGAGTGCCTCAAGTTTGAAATTACGAGATTCCAAACTCAAACAGGAAACGCTAGGCTACTCCCAAAATGATCATGAACAGAATTCTTTGAAGCCCCTAGGCAAATATTCGGCCACGTCAGCCCAGATTCTTAGCCTTGAAAATCCATGAGGATCTGGCTTTCGGGCACTACGACTTCGCGACTTCCGCGGCCGCAAATACTCGGGCAAATCTGCCTTGGATATTTGAATTTGCAGTTGCTGCGTAGGGAACGCGGGAATTGATGCTGCAGATTCTTATGCAGGTCACTTTGGGGATTGTGGGATTGTGCATGGAATGCATACATTGGTTTTGCTCTGACAACATAGGAGAAATGTGAGGGCAGTTTGTGGCCTCATGTCGTAATAACACTTCTGGTGTAGACCGTGTCACTGTACCTCTTAAGCATCCAATCACGGTTTTGGAATTCTCAAAGTTGTAGGTCCAAGGCAGAGGGATTTTGTCGTGACGCCTCAGCTGAAACCACCGTTTAATTTAGCAGACATGTTAGGCAGCATTCTCAAGGGCCCAAGAGGCATAATCTACTTCCCCTAATGCTCACCCCTCCGACTCCGAATAGTCAGTGTTAATAATCATGTTAATAATCAATATAGATGGATGCAGGTAACATATTCGGAGGTTCAGTATCAGGGGAAAGGGGCTTATGTTTTCCCAAGTTTCTGGTTGTCGCATCAGCTTGATTCAAAATGCTCAGTGGGTTCAAGCTCCTGTCTGGCAAGCTGCAATGTCATACGCAAAGTAAAGTATGGAAGGACAGGACCGCTCAGGATTAGGGCTATGGAGGCTTGAGCAGCTATTGTTTGGTCCAAAAACATCCAGTTCCATGCCAGCTCGCTGCGAGCCTTCACCATCTTCTCTAATCCAAAGAATCTCTTCCTCATGTTCTTGTATTCTGCCATCCAATTCAGTTCTGAGAGTGGCACTGGATTCACAGGCTGGGCATCCGAGAGGGCTGGGACCACTGGAACCTCAACAAATTGAATGCTCTTCTTCTGGCGGCACGGCTTGCATCCGTTCACACAACTCCCTCACACACTTCAGCAATGAACACTTCAGTCCTAAATCCCAAACCGTGAGAGGCTTAGAGTCGGGCTGCAGCGTTTCGAGCCGACTCCGGCAGCTCGCCTTGCTTGAGGGTATCACATTATAGGGTATGTAGTAAATAGTGGGGTGTCCTTAGTATAGTAACTGAACTTAAGTTCCTCAACTGCAACCTAGTTGAGTGCAGTAGTTTGTTTTCACCATGTTCTTTCAAGGCAGCATCCTGCATAAGCATCCAAAAAGTTGTACACTATGGCCATGAGCTAAGCTTGCTGCTAATCAGCTTGATCTGCAGCGGCTCGGAGCCTGTGAGGGTAACTGCTGTTTGCGGCATCATGCTTCTGGTTGTGCGAATTCGAAAGGCTTGGGGGAAGCTCAGGTCCATGAAGAGAGCAAGCTGAGGGAAGGCTAATTTGCAGCGCCTGGCCTCCGAATATCCCACTCTTGTTGGCCATGCGCCTTGCATTCCAAAGAGCTCAGACAAGTGAAGTGCAAACCTTTGACCATGAACTGCGGGCATTGACATTCAACAGCTGAGGTTTGTACCGAACTGCCAGCTGTGCCATGTCAGAGGAGCTGAAGCAAACATACCTCGACACTTTGCCAGCTGCTCATCATTCGAGTGCTTGCCATGCAGAATGCGGCTCAGATAATGTATTGAACTCCGTACAGAATCCATCCAATTGGATTGCATCTGCCGGGGCCCATGCGCTGCACTGCTGTCAGGCTCCAGGACCACCGCCGTCAGGACCTGAAGCTGTACCCAAACCCTGACAAGGATGCAAGGAGATGTCGGTCAAGGGCTCGAGCTGCTACCAACTTCCAAAGGATCTACAGATCCACTTGACTTCAAGCTTCCAATTCAACAAATGCTTCGCTCACCTCTGACAGAGACTTCTTGTGCTTGAGGGATGGTGCGGGGAACGAGAAACATTTGGTAGGTAAGTGACAGTTGATCAAGGTCTTTTGCAAGTTTCCAGGAATATGACCTGCAGGGCTATGGTTATTCAGCCCGCTAGCTGAGCTTGCAGCTCCGTGGCGAGCACATTCCAGCCGCCTCAGCCACGGCTTTCTATCTTCACGGAAGGTTTCAGGTCTACCACAAGATCTTGCAAGCTGAAGCAAGAAAACTTCAAGAAGCTTGCTGCTGCAGGAATGCCAAAGGGGATGCCAAGATGGAGAAGCAGCGCCAAACGGCTTCCAAGATTCTCACAAATGGCTGCCACACGTCATTCCACAGCTGACAAACGCAGGAAACTACATAACCCTTCGAGATCTTGCCAGCGAGCCAGAAGCCACCAAAACTTCACCTGTTGTCTGCTTGCTTGCAAAGTCACACTGCTGCCTCTGATACTCCAGGAGGAAGCCGGATGGCCACCTCCCGCGCGGCAATCATGTTGGCTTTTTTACATAAGTTCAAGGACGGTAAGGGCTCCTTTGCCACAAGGAGAGCCTTTACAGTGCACGTCTGTACAAAAAAATGAATTCAGGCTGTTCCCCCTTGCCTCTGAGATGACCAGAGCTGTCGATTGCAGGCCTCGACCCTTGCCTAACAGATTTCTCATTAGGCTAAACTCCCTCAAGAGACAGCCAAGCAACACATGGTAGAAGGCTTGCCGTCATTTGTGCCTGGTTGATTTTGGGAGCAAATGACATGCATGATGCACATGATTGGTCCTATGAAGTCTATCTTTCCACTCGCGCCACGACATCCTTTAGTTTACCACCCGAGGCATTTCCCCCTCAGTTGTTGCCGCGCCGGCATCCAAAATCAAAGGTGCAATAGCATAGTCATTGCAGAAACCCCGTAGCCCCAAGCCAAACCCTCCCAAGCATGTCGGCTCTTGCTGCACGCGCCTTGTCAAGAGTGGTGGGTAGTGCAAGCCCACTATCGCCACTGACCGCGACTTTTTCACGGCCTGCAGATGTCATGAGGTCAAGGTGCAGGCCGTCAATGCTTCATGAGGGTAGCGGTCTGACTTCTACATGCATGATATCCCTCACGCATGTGAAGTGGCAACCCTTATAGGGTTCTGCAGAAATGCTTTGGACGATCCCGCGCTTCAAGCGTACTTTTGCCAATACCACATCAGCAACAAGTAGAACTACTAAGACTACAAAGGCTGCAATGATCGTGGCAGGAATCCTCCAAACCCACTTTGCATGCCCCTCCACCTGTCAGCAGCGAGCTCAAAGTCTGGCCAAGGGCCTGAGACTGGAATCCACATTGGCCGCTTACAGGTTTTCCAGGATGCTGGATTTGGGAATTGTTAAGCATGGCGAAACAATGAGCGCCTTCTGTCGCTACACTCTGAGAGTAGATAGGCCATTAATTTGGAGGTCTAGGCTAGATGTAGGATTCTTATTTGAAGCTGGAGACCTTTAGCTGTATGGCCTCGGGCTTCGGTCTTAGGAATCAAAATCATGGTCTTGGATTTTGTTGTGGATCATGGGATCTTGGGAGCGCTGCCAAAAATTCCCAAAATTCCAACCCCTGAGCCCTACCAAACACTGTCATACTCACAAAATTCCAGAATTTTACAGCCCTTGGTGAGGATGGGGGCCGCGGAACAACGTGACGCTCAACAAATCCACAGAATTCCAGTATGTTGGGATCTATGGGCTCAACAAATCCAAAAAGTGCAAATGTCGGGGGGTTGGTTTCTGATTCCTTCCGTAGACCCCAGGATTTTGGAACTTAGCATTACAGCGGTTGGTGAGGTTGCAGCCCACACATCTTTATCGTTCCATTATGTCTTGCATTGGAGCAATTCAGAAATAGAGTTCTCTTAATTAATTGAAGTTATTGATTAACTGAATTGATGTCAGGAACTGCTTCATTTCTCGAATTCATGGATGAATTCAATTAAGGTAGTTATTTAAATTCCAGCCTTTTTGAGTTATTTGAAGTACTGACTAAAATGAGTTAAGTTCAAGTAGTTCAAGTAAGTCAGTTAGTTGAATCAAACCAATTCAGTTTTTCACGTTTCTGAATTCAAATATTGGAACTAATTCAACTGATTCAAGAACTGACTTTAATGGATTTAATTACCTCAAGCAATTCAGTTCCGGTCCATCAAATTTCTTGTAAGTAATTGAATGTTGCGCAAATTACTTAATTCCGCTCATTGAACTAAATAGCTGAGTTAATCAAACTTCTTGAATTTACTGAGGGAAGTAAACGAATGTGACTATTTGCACTTATCCTGCAATTCAGTAAGCGCAAAATATTTCAATTTCAGCCAATTGAGACAATGCAACTACTTTAACCAACCAGTTCAACTAATTCAAGTAATTCAACCACGTGAACTTATTCATGCAATTGAACTAGCTCAACAAATTCACTTGATTCAAATATGCAAACTCAACTACCTCAATTACTTACTTCAGTTAACCCAATCGACATTCTAATTTGTCACTCACTTGATTCAACTAATGCAGTTGTGTATACAGTTAAACGGATAGGATTACTCAATCAAATTGAGTACGCTAATTCATTGGATTATACAGCTAAAGCTAGACACCCTTTTCCAGTAACAGCGCGTCCCTGGATTTTGAAATGTCGTGGGTAAAGCTCAATAAGAAACATGCAAGTCAATAGGTAAAAATATCGGACAACGCTGTAAATGGTCGCACTTATGAACATGTTTGGAGAGCATGAAGCGCATTAAGAAGAGAGAGAGTGTGGATCATGGGGAGGCAGATTATCACCCTGGGTGCAGGATTACGATCGCTCCGAGGTAGCAGCACCACGGAACAACGAAGAACGCTACCAAAGGATTCTGGCACAGAGTTTGCACAGGTGTATACATCCTGACGTCTGTGAGTGGTGGAGCGTGCAGCGTGCTTCAAACAAACTCTGAATCAATAGCCTTTCACTCCGATTCGCATTTGAGGCTGTCGTTTTGGAATCCGAAAAACTTTTGAAGGCAAAGAGATATGATTTCCATTCCCAATCCAAGGCCACGACTGGCCGCGGCTCCTCTTCCTCCTCCGCCTCGGCGAAAGCCTGCGCCACCTCAAGGGCGAACTAGGACTGCTTGCTCGCATCCGCGACACTACCCACCATGGCTTTTTGAGGTAGGGAGATCTACTCTTCTGATTAGAGAATCACAATTTCGCACTGCTGTTCCTTTCTTGGGCAACTGTGCTGACTCGGCTGACAAGAGAAGGAGGCAAGCCCAGATAGAATGACGTGACCAAGCAGATGAAGGCCAATGTGATGTACATCTGTCAGAAGGAGGTTTCAGAAGGTCTCGAGCTCGTGCTTAGAATTGTAGTCCGTCCCCGTGCAGTGAGCAAAAGGAGGCTGTGCATCGAAGCTATCATGCAAGACATCAGGACATCCGAAGAATGGGCTTCTTTGCTCACCCCCTGGAATGAAGATTATCATCAGGCCCTAGATACCACCGAGGGATTCGTAGTACAATCTTCACCAAGCCGTCTTTGCAACTGATGTTCTGTCAGAAGCGAAGAGAGCGCAGGCAAGACAATCAACTTCCGGACCTGGCCCAACACTAGGGTCTAAGGTACAAAGAAAAACAACTGCACAGGAATAAATGGTCAAGTCCCAGCAAAATAATTGCGAGCATCAATGGTTCACTGTATTCGAAGAATATTGTTTTGGCATTGTGGCTGGTGTCGTACAGGCCTATGCAACTGAAGATGAAATGGAATCCAAGTACTGATGCATGTCGATGTCTTGGTACAAAAGAGCACAGTTGGAGAATACGCATTTGGAACGCCTGAGGTTATCTGGCATGCAGGCTGCCCTTCCACGATGCTTGGTGAGCAGCCAGCTTCAACTTGCTGAGGGCTGTGCATTTTTGCTGGAGTTGGCAGCCGCATCTGCCTCGCTTCGTCAATGGAATGGGCAAAGGTAAATCAACGCGGACCTATCATAGGCAACCAGAACATCTTTTGCATCTGTTCAGATATCGAGGCAGGAGGAGGTGCGGATTTTACTCTTTTGAATGGTGGCGGTACTGTCCTGAGCCGCCTGTGTGCCACCCTATGAAGTCTGGCTGCCCAGATGCCCAGCGAGACCGTGACGTCCTAATGCAAGGACACAAAAATCATGCCGAGGTACCGCGGCCAGACCGCCGGCGACAGTTGCAGCTCGGGCCTGCAACAAATGTTGCAACTTGAACCTACTGCTGCTGCTGCTGCTGCTGCGGTTGCTGCTACTAGTAGAACTACTGTCGTGGCCACGGCTACGAATTCAATCAGACGCTTTGCTTGTACATGCTCAACTCAATAAAACCCTGCGGAAAAAGTTGTGCCTAGCACATTCAAGTGTGAGCCCTGCATGTCATCTGGAAATCTCCATCAACGTAGTGTTGTGCTAGAAACAGCGAAATCACTGCTTCATTTTCTAGATGTACCATACCAAACCCTTAGACACCAGCCTGTTCCGCGGCTTCTTTGACCTGGCACAGGCGAGGTCTGACAACACAGGTAGTGTACCAAGGATGTAGGAAGGGATACTCTTTTGCTGCGTTTTGCATGATTAAGGAGGTACACCAGCATTTCGCTAGCAGCTGCTAGCAAGGCAGCAGACCCGGTGCATCTTTGGCTCGAAGGGCGAGATCTTGTTTAGCCACGGCATTTTCCCTGAACTCAGAACGCCAAACCGCAAACCCTAGAAAGATAAACACCAAAATTTCCTGCCAAGACCCAAGCAAGGAAGCAAAGCATGGAGAGAGCCCTAGTCAATGGCTGGGGGCCTGTTTTGCCAAGCGCTCCAGCTCTGCGGAGTCGGACGCCTGCGCGTTGGTCTTTCTTCAAGCAGACGGCTTACAAGTTGTATGATTCGCATTGTTAAAAAGCGGTTTTGGCAAGGCAACTTCATCTACAAGTGCACCCTGCTTGCAGTTAGATTCGGCGAAGCATTTGAGGCACAGAAGCACCACTCGCAAGCCCAATGGTGCTCACACAGGCAGAGAGTGGACTTGCGCGCCTTGCGACAGTGGGCACAGAGTTTCCCATGCAGGATATATTAAACCTGGTTGCAGCAATAAAAGAACAACAGTTTTCGTTAATGATCATGATAGTCATGATAGCTAGAAGAGTTGCAATCTGGAACAACAAGCTGTACTGAAGGTTAAGTTGTTCAATTTTCCTTTTCCCACACACCTTCAACCCGCAATCCCTAGACCTGGAACCCTAAATCCTCTTGTACATCTGCTTCGCCCGATTGCCTCGCTAGCCATCATCGGCCCAACCCTCAGGGTTTCGAGGAGGTGCATCGGGACATTTGGGGATTATACAATTGTTTGGGAGTGGGGCTGGCTGATTATAATCTGAGCTTTATGATTATGTTCAATTTGCAGAAATGAGGTTTATGGGAGTATGGAGGACATAGCAAACAAGCAATACGATCAATGTCATAAGTTATAGCTGGGAAATCTTTTGCTGGCAAACTAGCCACCTTTTCGGAAAAAAAAAACAGGCGCCTCATTGGAAGTGCTGCTTACATTGATTCTATTCCTTGGCAATTATGACACCGTTCGACCGACCAAGAAGGAGAATGGTAATCAGATTGGGGTCCCTATAACTTCCTTCCTCTTATACCACTACTAGTGGTTGTGGGGATCACCTGATTCGTTTCGGGAGGCGTGCTTGGCTTCGGAAAGTTTGAGCTCACACTTCTGCACTTCCTTCATGGGCTGAAATCATTCTGATATGATACCATGAGGGACCCTTGGGACATATACATGCTCTTTGGGACTTCAGAATGATTCTTGGGTCCCTCCTGGAGCGAGCTTGAATGGTACCCCTTCAAGAGATGCTGCAATCTAGGTCCGAAAAGCTTCGGCTTCACTGAGTGGAATGTGTAAATCGGACTCGGGCGTATCTGAGGACAAAACGGACTATGAAACTGAATAGTGCCAGGGTTCTATACCATCTAAACACTAAGCCAAAGAGGCATGAGCACATAAACGATGCTAAACGGAAATCAGTACAATAATCATAATGGGAACATAGCAGTCGTCACTCGCTTGGCCCAGGTCCGCGGCTTGAACGATGAAGAAGCCTGAAGAACCAGGGTTGCATATGTTGATGCAAACCATACACGATCTCTATGTAGTCTTGCGAGAAGTTGACCTGTTTCGCCTGGGGAGTGACACCAAAGTGTGAAGGAATGGCGAATGGCAATGGAACTTTTGTCTTCTGGATATGAGGCACAGAGGGAGTTTCCAGAAGTCACAGCTCTGTACTTGCTTGTTTCCTTCTTCCTTCCTTCTCCAAATGGCAGCTGAAGATAAGAGTGCATGTTAGAACATCATAAACAACAGATCCGCGTACTGCAGATGCGATTTGGATCCTTGCGAATATGGCCCGATTTTCCATCTAGATTGCTTTGATGAGGGCTGGACTTCACATCAGAATCTACCGCAGTGTGTCACAGCTTAGGACGACCTTTTGGGAGCCTTAATTGGTACGTACTTGCAGGTTGGATCCGGAAATCCAAACTGCCCGAGGGGCTTGCAGATTGCCTGGTCTTCTGGGTATGCCAAGTACGACCCCTTCCTGAAAGTCATGCTATTTTGGATTCTCAGCGCCCCTACACACCAAGCCTCAACCAATATTAGAAGCCCTTACCACCACAGGCCGGCCTGTTTCCTTTGCAGCTCCTGCATCTCCAAGGCCTCAACAAGCAGCATTGCTTGGATCTGTAGAAGGTTGTTCTTGCTGCCCAACTGATGGTCTGGAGCTTGGATTGCCATGAAGGTTGGGCTTCTGCTGTTCAGACTCTAACTCCTCAGCCACGAACCACCCTGACTGGAGGGTTGCCTGGGCAGCGTTCATCATCTCGTTGAGCATGCCCATGGGGTCCTGAAAGGACAGCAAAAAGCGGAGTCAGTTATGTAACGAGTTGTCCAAAACAACCTGGCAACAATGCAGATACCTAAACGGGATCACAAATTTGAGGCACATGCAGGGCTTGCAGCACAAGCAGTGGAAACACGCGGAAAATCAGCAGATGAAGGGCCGTAGTCCTCACAAAAACCTCAACTAATGGCAAGCCCAGCCCAGTGGCAAAAACATAGTGTACGAAAGATCCTCGCAGTAGTGCATGAATTTCCTTTGATGAGTTCAGAAGATGGATTACAGCACTATGCCCAACGTAGAGACCCAAAGACTTAGCATTGGGCTTTGGGGGTACACTATACTAAAGCTATGTGCGGGCTATAGAGGAATAATCATTTTCAAGTTTGGTAAGCCACTAAGCCCTAAACCACAGCTCTCCTTGATGGCACCCAAAGCCGTGAGGAGTGCGAAAGCCACAGGATCTGGCCTTCACTGAAGGTCGGAAATGGGGATGGGAGGCTTTTAGGGCTCTGGGATCTCGAGTGCTCTTCCAATCACGGCCTATCCAATGACACGAGAGGCTTGGAGTTCTTATTGTGACTAAGGTGTTTCTCTGGGCAATGTGGTCGGCAAGGTCAGAACGAACCCAAGACCCTCTTCAGCGCATTCTGCTTCATCTTGTGCCTACCACACAACTCCAAACTGCCTTTCTGGAAGCACATCTCCAGAACTGTCGTGGTTGATAAGGGGCTGCTTTCTTGCGGGCCAAATGCGCAGGGCCCATGTCACAAATGATTTGGGCTTTGTGGGTTTAACCCGAGCTCCAAGTCTTAACCCCAATTCTAAACCTAAACCTAAACCAAGAAGCCCTCAACCTCACACCCCAACATTGTTGGCTTCGCCGACACGCCAATCCAACTCTGTTTCAATTGTGCAGGAGCAGTATAGCAAAGTCTCCATGGTCATGAAACTTGAAGCCTTGCACTTTCAAATTCAATGCTACCACACTCGTCACTCCGCACACCATGGCACGAACTCTTCCTACAATCACCACGACTTGTACCATCCCCCGCCCCCATCAACTACAAGTATCTGACTCCCTTACAATGATACTGAACTCGCGGGGAAGTCATGGGTGTTGCCAAGAAGCAGTCGCTGCTGGTTTTTGTTGAGAACTGAGAATCTGGAATCCTAAGGGGCCTAGAAACAGACCTTGAATTCGTCTAGTTGAAGTGCGATTAGGTCTGAGGGTGGATGCTTGCTCAGTAAGGCCTCGCGTGTGAAACGAAGTTGCAAATCTATGCCTTGAGCTTTCTAAAGTGCAAAGTCTGCAGCACGTCAAGGAAAGTTAGTTGCTTCTGGGATATCAAGCACATTGGCTTGTCCTCCCGCAGCTGCATCTGTCCACCAGACAAAGATGGGACAGCTGGGAACATCCGTGCACCCGTCTGTGTCGGATTGCTATTGTGACTATTTGAGTGTTCTTGAACAACGTACCGAATACAGTCCCCCGTCCCCGTGTCCCTGCGTGCCCCCCTCCCCCTGTTCTTCTGGTAGAGGGCTACAGCTGGGCTGCCGGCAGGCCCATGGCATCGTACTTCTTCTGCAGCGTCACCTCATAAGGGCAGTTTTCCCAAAGTAGCCCCTGGGTAATCATTGAGGGGGTGCCCTATACTCCCAAGAGACTTCTAAACCATCCCTCGGGCGCATAAAGCCCCTGGCGCTCGGTCGCCTTCTGTGAAGTACTGCTACAAGCTTACTCATGGTTTGTTGGGTATGGGGGAATAAGCTAAGTACAGGAACTGGTATCTAATCATACAAAACCTCCTGTACGGGAGGGGTTCGTGGGTAGGAAAAAACTATCCTTACTATCAGTACTATCATTCAGCACGTCACCCTCTTAAATAATTAGGTCCGCAAAGGAGTATGTGACACTACGAGGTGGGTGGGTGGGTGGGTGGGTGGGTGGGGTGTTGAATTCTGGTGACAAGGGCTTGTGAATTTGATTTCTATCCTCCTGCCTGCGGGTGCAGTTTTTGAGCCTCTGTTGCTGCGACTACTTCTGTTTCTAGTACACTGGCTCTCTCCTGTAATACTCACAAGACTACTGATTCTGACTGGAAAGACCTTAACGCTGTGCCTTCTGTTGCCGCAAACTGCTACTGCTGCATGAAACCTTCAGTTCAGAATCCAACATGCACCCTGTACACCTGATAGCCAAAGCATCATACACATCGTGAACTTCAAGCACCCGGATCTTGTACACCGGATATTAAAAAATCTGGAGATCCTAAGCACCAAAGCCCTCTGTCCTTGAAAACCCAAACTCTTACACCCGTGGAAAACCTAAATCCCGAGAGTCTGACATCTGGCTTTGGCAGCGGCAGGAGACAGCTGAAGTCTGCCTGATAGATTCGCCGCTGCAGCTAGCGCCAGTGCGATCTTCACCCCCACCGCCGCCAACACCACCACGCATGCTAAAGTGGGTGGTGGAGCCCGGGCACCAGCACCAGCACGACCACCGTAAGCATGACCACTGCAAGCACGACAACCACCACCACCACTACGACAACCACCACTACCCACTGTCGCACCACAACCACCTAGCCACGCAACCACGCAACTACCCAACCACCACAACACCACCACCAGCGCCGCCACACCAGCACCGGCACCAGCACCGCTCCCGTCACCGCACGCCCACACCACCGCCATCACAACCAGGAGCCTGACCATGACCTCCACCCTCACCACCAGCAGCACCACCGCTTCTTCCCTTGCAGTTGCTGGTGTGGCTGCCACCATTTGTATGACCATTGCATTGCCACTGCGTGAAGCTTTCCTGCAGCATGCTCAAGGCTGACGCAGCTGCAGAAATAACTTGGGCAGCTGACCTGAGGGCCGCCACCGAAGACCTGCATGTTGCCGAAGAACTTAAGTCATCAGCTTGAGGACGTCAAAGTCAGGATCCATGCCAGTGTAGTAGATGACAGGCTGACTACCGTGTGAGTATTCTCTGATATCTTGACTGCAAAGTTGGAGGCAATGGGTCTTGTAGGGGTGCTGATAAATGAGCGCAGTGTGGCCAATGGCTCGGCAGCTGTGCCGGCAGATGCTGCCTGTATTGTTGCTGTTGCCTTGCTGCACCGAATTCACAGCTTGAAAGCAGCAAGCGGGCAAACGTGTGCATTCAAATTACAAGACGGGCATATTGCAAGAGCTTGGACGGGGCTGCTGAAGCAGGAGCTCCGCCGGGCCTCTTGCGGGATCCAACACGCAGTCCAGAGAATGCTCTGCAGGAAAGTCCCAAGTAAACCCAGCAGTTGGACCACAACTCTGGTGACCGCTAACACCTGTTTTGCGCAAGCTGTTTGCAATTCGTGCAATTGACTTGTATCATGTTTCATCACCTGATCCTGCTTGCATGAGAAGTCTTGCTACTGCTGGCCTCCTGTTGGTCGGTTGTCTGTCCTACTTCGTGGGTTGACGTAGAAGCGTGGCAGTGCAAAAGATTTTCCCCAGCAATCCTTGTTGCATACCAGACCACCAAAGAGATGCAAAATGCAGAGCTCTGCAACAATGAGCTGCTTACCACAGCTGGTTGCAGAAGTCTTTGTAGTATTCATGTTTTGGGTCCCTTGGATGGCCTTGCATCGCCTTGACATGGGTCAATCGGAGCACAACTGAGAGGCTTTGCGATCTCTCAGCCGTTCTTGCCCAGGATGCTTCGGGAAACTGCAGGGGCTCGAATCAGCAGAAGATCTTAACCCACCTGGAATGGACAACCAGGATGTGCTGTGTTGAGCAGCAACTGTTGCCAGAGTGCACTTTAGGTAGGCATCTGAGCATCTTCCTATACCTTCATACCATCTGCCCGAAATGTCTCACAACTTTACAAAACTTCTATGCGCTTGTTGCAGCACGCTGTGCTCCGACCAGGAAGTTTTGCATGACTATTGCATGTTGCGACATGCTAGGTGCAGTTGCGGCTTCCTATCTCTACGTGGAAGAGCAAGTAGGTAGCAAGAAGCGTGATGATCATACTTTCTGTTTGAAGTTGTCTGTAACAACTTCTTCAATCAGCCCAGGGCTTTTGACAAGCCAAGTGCAGCTGCCATGGGGCCCTCTGCAGGTACTACTCCACTTCCAGACGCTGGAAGATCAAGTAGTTTGAGTGGCTGCGCTGCAATGCCACACCCACTACCAAGCAATGCAGTCAGCTCAACGTGACAACGACCACTCTCCAACAAGGAATAAACTCACAACACACTAACTGGATTAGTGTAAAGTTGCTTCTTGGGATGTAGAGGGCGTGGAATAAAGCCTGCAAGCCGGCCGTGATGCCCGCCCTGCAGATGTAAATGTCTCATTCGTCGCTCACAGCCGCTGTGAAGGCCTCGTGACGGCTTGCTTCCCTACTTTCATGAGGTATAAGGTTGTCCAGCAAAACTGGTATGATTGAGTAGAGGCGTTTTACTGGAATGGATGCTGGTGCACGGGATTCTCGGCATTAAATGGCCACTGTTTTATGTGATCTTCTACAACCTGCATGTTGCTGACGGTTTGGGCATTCAGACAAGCATTGAACACTCTGCATGAACGAGCTTCCCAGGTCAGCCCACAAGGATAACTGAATTACATTGAGACTTCCTTCATGCATATCCATAACAGGGCAGCCTCTTACTTTGTGACGTTGGATAAGGCCGACTCCGAGGAACCACACTTCTGTGCACATACAAGCCTCTCAACCCTCGATCTCGAGTCATGAGGTTTGCAAGTTTTGCAAAAGTAACCGTCTAAAATCCTAAATCGGGACCCCTCCAGTGATCCCTTGGGGGGATTACATATCCCTGCATTCTCCAGAGCGTTTTTGTTAAGATTCCCCTTGAAAGCAACAGTGGCTCCTGCAACTCCCGTTCTCTCAAGGCCAGAAGGCCAAGCATTAGAAGGAAGGCTTCCTACGGCCTACTAAAGAGAATGGAAACATGCAGTGGGAACTAGGTTCTAGACGAGAGAAGGGGTATATGAAATGGAAAAAATGGAGGCCACTGCGCCTTGTGCCAGCTTGGCCTCGGACCTGCCACTCATGTTCATGGATTTATGGATCCTAATTTGGGTTCTTAGAGCTGGCATGCGCACTTCGGCATTGTGCATGCCGCGGGAACAATTGAGTATGACGTGTTGGAGCAATCTAGTGTTTGGGGTTTAGATCGCTTAGGGTATGTGGAGGATATAACCTTAAGGACGATATATGGTAGTTTGCCAAGTCAAAACAGATAGCGATGTTATTATGCTAACTGATAGTATTGTTGCCGCTATCATTCCCAATGCTGGTTATCTAACTTATCTTTAACACGGCAGTCAGTTACAATGATTGAGAGTAGCAGTCTTTGCCATTCCACTGTGCTGAGTAGATCCATAATGTCATTACCATTGTGGTTCTGATTTTCTACTACTCGTATACCACCTTTTGCGAACTAGTTCTTATTGTTGCTTGTGGAGGATGAAGGCTAGTCTCTGTGATTTCCACTGCTGTTCAGTGAAGAGCAACGTTGAAACCTGAAAAGCAGCCAAGAGCATGACAAGCACAAACTCTAGCGTGTGCCAGAATGAACTATGAGCTGTAGGGTGAAGCAGACCTGGAATCAGTCAAAATGAGAGAGGAAGGGCGCAGAAACAACATAGAGCGGCTGTTGCAACAGTACCATCTCTGCCCCCAAATGCAACAACCCGGGACAATCCTTCGTTGGGTTGCCTCACGCTAGTTGGCTTAAGCCAGTTTACTTAGGGAGGATCTTGGAAGAGTTATGCTGGCGGGAGTGGATTCCACACACCCCACTACAACTGGGCGCTAGCAGTAGTCCTCTTAAGGCCGAGTCCAACACTGACAAATCTTTGTAATAAAGAAGAGGTAATCAATGCTTCAGCCTAAGACCCGGACTCCTTGTATATGCCATGCTTTGAAAGGCCTTTGTTTCTTGCGAGAAGATACTTGCATGATTTGAATGGTGCTTTCAAACAGTTGGCCTCCGAAATGAGGATGGGCTGGTTTCAATTTGAACAGACATCTTTCGGAGTCCTGTAGTTCGCTACAACCGTTAGCCATTTCCTCCTCTCTCTTCAAGAAATTCAGATGCTTGCTCTCACCCTACAAGTCCTCCAAACCTGAAGCATACGCTAGGTATTATATCGAACTGTACTTCAGTCATGTTCCTTTGCGCATGTCACTTTCTGAACGGTCATGTTATTTCAGGTTGACTTCCCTTCCACTTCGAAGTCACGGTCAAAAGCAACTTGAAACCTAAGCCCTGCGCACTGAATCTTCAAAAGAGCCATCTGAAAGAAAGCCTCACCCCGCAAACTGTAAACCAGGAAAGGCAGCAAAACAGGGAAAGGAGATGTCAGCCTGCATAAGGCAGAGGGTGCGTGTAGAAGCCTCGCGGCCTGAAAATTGACGGCAGCTTCTCTGAGCTTGAAGGCTCTGACGTTTTCAATTTTTTGGACGTAGGGGTAAGCTTTCCTTGCAAGACATGGCGGTTCAAAAGTTTTCTAATTCAGGCTTCAGGGATTACGGATTGAGAGTTTGGGTGTAGACTACCTATAGCTACCTCCACCTGTGACGGGATCCCCAAAACGAAGCCGTAGGATGACAGGAGTTCCTCTAGTCGAGGCGTGCAGCGCATCTTGCAATTAGTAGCATCTTCTATAGCTGGCACTGTGATGCTGCTTGGTACTACCTGTCCTGGTATTGCAGTGCCTGCTATGGTTTCGTCCCAGTTTTTAGAGAAGGGTTATCAGCCAGCTTCTCTCTCGCAGGCAGCACCAGTAAGTCATAAACCCCTAAACCCCACATAATCCCAGTATAGTAGTTTCCATTTTCTTGTTTCCATTCTCCCTATATTACCTGTATATATCTATATCCATAATACCCTATATACCCCTTTAAAGGGACCTAGGATTTCCATTTTCTTTTCCATTATCCATATATAACCCCGACATTACCCCATATTTATCCCAATAGTACCTACCCACAGCTTGACCATCTTCAAAGTCTGACCATGATTAAAAGCCTTGGTATGCGTACGGGGAATATAGGGGTATATGGGGGGTCATATAGGGAGTTATAAGGATTATATAGGGCTTATATAAGGAAATACGGGTTATTTAGGGATAATGGAAAAGAAAATGGAAGCTACTATTTTGGGGTCTGGATAACATTGCCTATGCTTCACTTCGTCATCAATGAGCCCTGCAATCTTCAGAATGCTATGCCAGACAAGAGGGCTGAAAGCCTGACTTACCAACGAGCAGGGTTACCGTAGACAAGCTACCGGGATGGCTAAGGTACGTGGGTAGCGGAACCATGATACAACCAGTGTCTTCTTACCCAGACCTGCATCGAGGGATACTACACTGGAACTCTCAAGCTGGATTTTATGCGGTCTTGGTTTTGATATGCGATGACTTGAGGATCCACCCTTTGAGATCTTCATGCTCTGGGTCTATCTTGTTATGACTTCGACATGTAGGCAGTTCCCCTCGTGCCCTCATGTGATACCTTTATGCAACACAGTAAACCTTAAGTTTTCAGCACCCGGCACGGAAAGTCTGTGTGTCAGCAGACTCCCAACCCTAACGTGCTCAAAGAAACTGAGGAGCAAACTGGTAGATCTCGATGGGACAGAGCCTAAGTGCATGAGCAACTTTCAATTCAAGGTGTCTTTCGGGATCCTTTCACAGGTGGTATTGCAGATGAAGTCATTTACGTAATTGGCTGGTGCGTGGTCGGGCATGATGCATGTGCTCACGCAACCTCCTGGGCTGTGATAAAAGGGGCCCACTTGCTCATGCAAACGCTGGTAATGAACAGTCGAACAAAGACATTGCTTTGTGCTGTAAGCTTTCATCACCGCGCCGCTGC